TATCGCCATTAGCTACTGCCAGCCGATGTAATTGACCTAAAAGTCCCGCCTCTGCGTGCAATTAATTCAATCTGAGTTCGTTTTTGAGTCCGTTAACACGTTTGCAATCAATCATGTGTTTTTCGTTTAATTCCGAGTCGATAAATTTTGACGCCTATTTCCCGATTTTGCAGTTTTTGATATCGATTGACATGTACCTTGTGCTTTGACTTTTACTTAACTTGTATTCATGTTTCGTTGGTTATTTGTATACCATTGCACTTATGTTTGCTTGCTTTGGATTCATTCCATGTACAATTTGTGATTTAACATAGCCGCTTTTACCATTTTGTGACATCACTTGATTTTCACATTATGAGTCGATGATGTAATTACGGGTTGCTTTCTTGTTATCACTAACTTATTTGTTGAGTTTGTACAAGGATTTCCATAAGGGATTTCAATGATGCTTACTTGCTCGGTATTCCACTTTATTTGTGGGATACCATATTTCTTATGTGTCGACATCTCGATAATCTTCTTTTTTGTATGGGGTATCACTCTTCGCATGTTGTTATCTTTTGTCCCATACTTGTATATTGTGTATTGTCTAGATCATTGGTTTTCTTGCAGGATACTTGTTTAGTTGTGTCTGACACACACCACTTATGTTGCTCTGGTGCTTCGACGCATATTCTAACTTTGTTTGTTGTTGATGCTAGCTCGTTCGAGGTTCTCTGGATTTCTTGCTGCTGTCAGTTTAGTGACATGCTTTTGTTCGATTGGTAGTCCGGTTTATTTCCTTTATTTCTCACACTTTATACCGCATTTTACAGTTTCCTGATGCCGTGAGAAGTAGTTTCCCTTAGATGTTTTTCTTTCTTTTTGCATCCTTAAGACTAAAACCTTTTTCTTGACAAATACATAAAACATCTAACAACTTTCAAATCCTTTTTCAATATAAAAAACATCAACCAATGCAAACTCTTTTTCTCCTTCAGGCCTTTTCTTTCAAACTTTC